ACATTGATAACTATAATACAGGTGTACTGAAATATTAATATCCTAGTTAGTGATATACTTTGTAGTTACAGGTACATTAAAGAAATTTCAAAATATACTGTATGTGGTTGAAGTCCATTGAAATAGGAGCCTCATTACAAAAAAATTATCAGGTTATAAATAAATAGATAGCAACTAATTTTCAATAAAAGTTTTATTTATAATTAAAAAGTAAATAACAATTAAGCCATAAAATTTATTTCGTAACAAAGTAAATATTTCAGTATTCAATTAAATGTATTTATATATAAAAAGTAAATAAACTAATTTTCAATAAAAGTTTTATTTATAATTAAAAAGTAAATAACAATTAAGCCATAAAATTTATTTCGTAACAAAGTAAATATTTCAGTATTCAATTAAATGTATTTATATATAAAAAGTAAATAATTTTATTAAATATAATTTATATACTATTCAAATAATCTGATAAATTGATTGTTTGAATGGTGTTTACGTGAAACACATTAAGGATCGGAAAAAGTAACTGAACGGGTGGATCGGTTCAGTTGCGGTGAACATTGATAACTATAATACAGGTGTACTGAAATATTAATATCCTAGTTAGTGATATACTTTGTAGTTACAGGTACATAAAATTAAAGAAATTTCAAAATATACTGTATGTGGTTGAAGTCCATTGAAATGGATCGGTTCAGTTGCGGTGAATTTCTCGGGCTATTCCTCATAATACTTTTGGGAGAGTCGGGTGTTTTCATATCATTTCTATCATCCATTAAAATGCCATTATAACTACTCGCCAATGAATCCAATGACATGTTTGACACTATTCTAGGAAACAGTCGCTTATTATTTTGATCCAAGTTCTGGATGGGCTGTCCGATCGTGGACTCGGATTGCCTGATGAAAGAGATGGCGTCGTGGACTGACTTATAGACGCGATCCGATGAGACCTCTTTGAAGAAGCCGTCCCTCTTGAGCACTGTCTCGATATGAACGGGACATCCCGTCAGTTGTATCATAATATCGATGTCGGAGTGGTTTTGGACCAACTTCTTGAGTTCGGTCACACCAGACGTGTCGATATACGACAGCATCGAGCAGTCAATTATTATATATTTTGGCAAATTTTTCTTGTGCTCCAAATATTTCTCAGTCATTGCCTTATAGTCTTTGGTTTCCGTGAATACGAAACAACTGGTCGATGGAGTCATTGCTAGCATTTCCTCCTTAATTGCACTAAACATCATAAATTGTGTTTAAAAATAAATTTTCATAAATTAACTAGTTAATCTTACGTCACGTCTACACCACTTCTGATTTGTAGCTCTTTCTTAAAATAGGGAACGTTGGCAAAATTAAGAGGTCCGCAGAACTGGTATATCTTAACGCCTTCCAGTTCTTTGGCTCTTTTGAATTTGCTTAACGGCACGTATATGTCCGAGTCATCCACTGATCCCAATGAGTAGGTCTTCGGTCTCTGGGATTTGTATATCAGTAGTAATAGAGAGCACCCGAACCCGCAGTATATGCCGTAATCCACGTTTAGTATGACTACACTCAGGAATGTGATCAGCCATATGCCCTGGTAATTCAGTACAAATTTTAATTTAATTATAATTAAGAATTTACTATTTCTGATTGTATTCCTATTGTTATATCTTAAAACAATATAATTATAGATTTATGTTGTAATTTATAGTGTTTAAAATATAATAAACCTGAAATAACAAGATTTTACATGACTTTTATTGATAATTTTAAGGAAATAATTCTAATAAGGATGTGAAACAATGATAAACTATCGGTGAATAATAGAAAAATTAGCAAATGTTAGCAAAAGTTTAATTATCAAAAGGTTATAGTCATATAATCGTTGTGATATTAGTTCTCAAAAATAGCAATTGTTATCTAATTATAAAATAACAGTTTCATCACTCACTCCATCCAACTTAGAGATCCGCCAAAAGTTAAGAAATTCTTGAAATTTAGCAAAAATCGACGCCAGGGCACAGGCTATACATGAGGCCAATACACACTATTAAGGAATAAATTAAAACTTATAAAATAGGATTTATTTTATAGGTATAATTTATTACTTACTTTGGGTAAATCGGCTAATAATGTGCTCAATAATAATATGACAATTAGTATACAAATACAGTTCACAAGACTAACGATCTGTAGATATGAAATAACAGAAATTAAAGCATATTAATGTACTGCAGTTATAATTATAATATTGTATAGTAATTCATTGATTACCTGAGTTTTTCCACCACCACTCTCTTGTACTGATGATCGGGGTATTGACGCACATGAGGCCAGACTCATGAAGAATGAGGACCAGATGTTACAAATACCCAGAGCCACCATCTCTTGATTGGCATTTATCTTGTAATTATGTTTATTGGCGTACAATCGGCCCACAGATAAGGTTAGGATATAGGAGACCACTGCTATTGGTATACACCGGTGCCACATATACTTAAATAGTATAAATTTGGGAAATGTCGGCGATTTAAACCTACAAACAAATTATAGTAATAAACTTATATGAAAATAGTAATATTGCATTATTAACTTACTCATCGGGTATATTGCCCACCACAGAGATATCATACTCGCTTTTCAGATCCATTAACCAGGAGGCAATACATCCACCAATCATTATAAACAAATGTATGGGAAATGGGAGCTTGAGACCCATTTTTTGAAATAGTCTTTCGATACCCAGTTTAAATATAAGCAGAATTGAGACACAAATGATTGAAATGATAAAAGCCGTCAGATTTACACTTTTAAGTTTACCAAAGAATTCTACATAAACTAAGGGAACGGCTAGTATTCCCGACCTATTCTTCAGCTCCACTCCAAACAAATAGCGGATTTGAGTTGTGAACACATGAATGGCTGCAGATGTCATGAAACCACTGACCAGTTCATCGGACAAGTAGTTACTGATAAACCCCAATCGAAAACAACCCAATATAAGCAGATAGAGACCAATAATCATGGAAATCATGACTGCAATGTCTATCGTCTGAATGCCTTCAAACCCTTCAATCACATTAGTTGTATCTCCAGTTTCGTAGTCGAGTCCTATGTCTGCTGAGACATCGACTATAATATTAGCCGTCATGAGTCCGGCCACTATAGCCACCGGACCCACAGAACTATGAAAAGATGTGCCAAATATTAAGTACATCAGCGCTGGAAAGAATGCAGTGTAGAGACCGTACACTGGATTCACGTCCGCTATTAACGCATAACCCATACCTGAATAAAAAAATTTAAAATTACATAATAAATAAAACATAATATGAATCATTTGTAAATACTTTGTGGCACTTGGAAAGAGGCGATTGTGATGCCCACCACAATATCTGCGATCAGATTTTGTCTTATATTGTACTGAGGAATCCATACAGAGATTGGGAAACAGCCTTTCATGCGACTAATCCACGCTTTTCTCGAGAAGTCGGGAGCAATAGATTTAAACTTTTCTTTCGTTGTCTTTTGTATTTCATTGGGAATATAATTCTTATTAAATTCGTCCACATTATAGACGGGACGAGTGATGCTCAGGGATGGCGAGGGAGGCCTCAGTTCAGAGAAGACGCGATGAAGTTGTGGTGAATTCTTGAGTAAAGCCGAGGTCTGGATGTTTCGAATGATGTTTGGAGAGCTGGGAAGTGACCCCACATTCATGCCATTGATGGGCAGTGAATTGGATGAAGTCAACGGTTTCTTTATATAATTAGGTATTGAACTGACAGTCGGTCCCTCGTTGGGTGACTTATTCAAGTCGTTTGTATTATTGGAGTCCTTATTATCCATTTATCTTCCAATTCTCTCGACTCAACACTTTTACGAAATGAATAAAAAAATTTATTATTTTGCAAGAATTCGTGTTTATATACAAACACTAAGAAATTTAAATATAGTTATAAATAATCTGTATAATAGTGACGTAAAGAATGAAATAAATACGAGCGTTATTTTTATTAAAAATACAAAATAACTTGTGACCAACAAAAAGTTAAGACAGTTTGTTTACCCACTAATTATCTAAAAATTTCAGGAATTTTAAAATTATTCTTATATATGAAAAATCTGTAAAATTTTATATTTAATTAAATTTCATTAATAGTATTGCTAATAACATGGACAGATTTTTGATTGTAATCACTAGAAAACACCAATTGGTGATCATTGCTTCATAATTCGTGATAAAATATTATATCATTTGATCATAAATTCTAGTTTAAGTTATCACATTTTCAAACGAGCTTCGACTGATATAACTACTATTATAACTTAGATATAAAGTATTGATGCAATTAATAAATTGAAAGTTTCTTTTAAATTACCTACATACAATTATGAAGTTCAGAATAATTACCCGATTCAAATTTTATATAAAACACTGTAAATTACATTTTAATTCATATAAATTACAGCAAAATTACATCACTAATTATAAAATATAATCAAATCTTATTTTCGATTAAAAATAATCTTTGTTTTCCTCTAATCAGAGTTATATATCTCTAATTGTCTTTTAATAGACAGTTATTTATTTAATTTATCATTTACAGTATATGTCAATATGGTTTCCAAAACTGTGTTTAACTGCCATTGATTTTATTGAACTTCAACTTCAAACAAAAATCGACATAATGTAATAATGTTATCAATTTATATATATAAAGCACATAATATCTGATCATTAAATAGTTTTCATACTAAATATACTAAAAAGCAGTCCTTTAACACTAATTTTTGCTATAATAAAACTATTAAATTATATAAAAGATAAAAACCATTATGAAATCACCAAATCATTAATCATGTGATGATCTGGTAATTTATGTATCATATTTTAAAATTCTATTTAAAAATTAATATTTTTAATTAGAAAATATTTTTTATTTTTAGACTTCCTACATATTTTTTAGAATAAATATCCATGTTTACAAACAATTTAAAAGTAAAATATAGTTTGGAAAAATTAAAAATCTAATTAAAGTAAAACTATAAGAAGTGATTTATGGATTGCAATATCTCTCATGCAATTTATATGAACTGCAAGAATCCAATTATAGCATATAATTTAGATATATTTATCTTAAAACTGTGTTTTTGTGAATCGGATGAGTCGACAAAAAGCAAATTAATTACAAACATTATCTGTGGTTTCATTCATAAAACTAGTGGTGAACCCAAACTTGGAAGTGAAGTCTCAGATACAAGAAGTCTGGGAATTGTTAATAAGAGAAATTACATAAAACAAAACAAAGTGAGGGGTAACCACATCAGGACACGTCAACGCTCGTATCTTTAGTGCTAAACCATATACTGTAATATCTTAAACAATTTTATCAAAACATGAGTCGGTTACATTATCTTAAGAACTTATAATGTACCAGGTTCCTAAAAATGGTTTAGGTTATTAAATTATTTGGTGGGAGTGGAGGATCTGACTAAAGTCTGCATAAGACAATTGATTAAATATATAATTTTGTAAACTGTATTATATTTATTACAGCACAAATGTAAAGGGAAGTTATAAAATATTTTCACGTGTTTTGTGTTTTATATATGATAACACATTTTATTAATATTCTAGTATTCAGTGGAACTCAAAATTTTTTAAAAGTATTTATTATGACAATAAAGATTTATTAAATAATTAAATTATAGTTTAATATTTATTAGTTAAAGTTCTCGTAATATCAATATTGCACTGTTTCAGTTCATTCAGTATAATTTTTAGTCAGAATATTTACAATATTTTATATCATTTTGTTTACAAAAAGTTTAAGAATTCTAAAATAATTTAATATTTAGTATGTTCAACATTTGAAAAATATATAAATCTAGCATTTATTTTATAAATATAATTTTTTAGACCAGTTATTAAATTGAATTGAATTTTTTATTATTTCGATATACAGTCGATTTATTATATACGGTATAACAGTTATTAATAATAATTATAATAACTTATTATATAGATTAGTAGGTATTTGAGCTTTAAACTAAACTTTTTTTATATTAACTATCAAATGTCTTAAAATAAAAAACTACACGAAAAGTATACAATCCTATGAATTAAAATAATTTTAAATTATTTTTAAAAATAACTTTTTAATAAGTTATTTAATATAAATTAACAAATAAAAAACTAGTAATCGTTTAGACATTTTTATTACACAAAACAGAGGGAAATGTGTCTGAGCTTTGATTTCCCGGATAAACGTTTTGTATCAATGAATCTAAAATATGAAGAAAATTGTGCTAATCTTATTGAAAATGTTACTCTTATTTAGTATTACCATTAAATTAATTACGTGTTCATTGGCTGTCCGTGTGAGCAGTTATTGCGGTGATCCTGGTCTCCCACCCGACGCCACCCTATATAACATAAATTCAGGTCGTATTAGGTTTCACGACGGAGAGGTCGTCAGATACCGGTGCAGTCCTGACTTCCATACGTTCAGTCAAACCAGAAAATGTGTTTCTGGCCGTTGGGTCGGGGAAAGGGCTCGATGTGGTAATTGGCTTCTCATATCTCTTATTATATTTTGTTTTTTAGTTTTTACTATTTGTGCCAAACTATAAAATATACTAAATATAAGTTTTAAACGGATTAAAAGTGATTATTGTTTGTGAGCCTTTTGGATTAAGTTTGTTTTAAATTGTTTATATTTTTAGCACTTTTAGATCTTTTTAGATAAACATGACATCATTTTTATAAATCAAATCAATACTATTTAAATCACTCTCATTAATCATTAATAGGTATTCCCATTGAAAATGACATTCAATTGGTACAAGTGTTTGATTGCAGTGACAGTGAGAGCAACAGTACAAAGAATAATGAGATTTTTAATTCACATATAAATCAAACGGAAAATCCATTGCTATTTGCAAATTCATTTCACGCGAGTCGTCTCAAGTCGGGCCCAATCACTGTCAACGGCTCGTCCTGTTATTTATGGAAATTCAAACTCCAGGCGCCATCAATGATCCCTTTCCTGACCATCGATTTCGCCACTCAACTAAACCAAAACGAGATAATCAATGGTTCAGTCAATGAGTTCAATACGACTGCAATGCCGAGAGAAGTGTTGTCTGTCGAGCCATTTGTGAGTCCATACAGAATATGCCGATCCCTTAGTAAATTGGATTTCCTGAACGGCGATCCCATCACAAACTCCACGTTTCTGTTGAGTGGATATTACTACCGATGCGACAGTTTTGGAGAAAATGAGTATAAAATAGAGTCGAAGAAAATATCGCAAACTTTTATGGTTCAGACGCGCAGTCATTATACACGAGATATCCATTTAGTGGCCATCTTTTTGGCCGCACATAAGGTTGACGTGAAAACTGGTAGACCTGAATGCGGCAAACCAGAGACTGTGAGCACTGGCGTCAACTTTCGGGAGTCAAATTTAGGTACATTTCTTATTCATATCAACTGAATTAAACTTTCTTAATAAAAAAAACTGTGAATATTCCGTGTGTTTAGGAATATCTCAGTTTCAGTTCCAATGCAACGATACATTCATAGACGTGACACCAAACAGACCCCACACAACAAACTCTGGTCATCACTGGTATTCAATGAATTGCACAATAAATGGTTACTTTGAGGGACAGTTCCCCACATGTGTGCCAAAGATCCAGTGCCCGGGTCTTCAACATCTGGAAGAAACTAAAGACCCGAGTGTTGTCATCGAGTCACTTGAAAATGTCTTTTATCTCAATCAGACCTATTGGGTGCCCATTGAACACAGTTATGTGAACTATGCATGTGTGGACCCTGAACAAATCTGGAAGAAACTAAAGACCCGAGTGTTGTCATCGAGTCACTTGAAAATGTCTTTTATCTCAATCAGACCTATTGGGTGCCCATTGAACACAGTTATGTGAACTATGCATGTGTGGACCCTGAACATATAATCGTCGGCAAATTGACCAGGATTTGTTTGAAGGACGGTGATTGGAGCTCTAATATGCCTAAATGTTCTGCTTATGTGAGGCCAGGTAGGAAATACTACAAATGAATTTATAACTTACTCTAATACAATAACTTACAGTATACACACTGAAGCATTCATGTAGATATTTGATGAAACCATTTATTAATTGTATGATAATATTCATTATTAGATTCACTGAGCCCAGTGGCTCAATCACCCTGGACTGTCATCGCCATACTGTCCACGTTTTTATTACTATTCCTGTCGTTAGTGTTTCTAATAGTCCGCAGATATGTACAAAATATGAGGAAAGAGTTGATGCGATACCGAAATAAGTCCCGAAAACAGACGTCTGTTTATACGGATGTAAAGAGCGTTAACTTCATATACGATGATTGCGAGACCAGTACTACGGGCCCCGGGTTTGCCAACCGAGTCAACCGTAAAAAGAGTTATAAATATAAATACGACGCCGAATACATCGAGTTGGAGGGCACCACCACCCAAAACAATGCCGAACCATTGTATATACCTATCTTACCGGCCCCTTAAATACAAATAACCATACACATTTTGTCTATTTATTTTTTATTTTATTAATTTATTTATATACTGTAATTTGTTAAATAAATTATTTGTTATTTTTTTGTAGATATTTTATATGGTACTTGAAATAAATACTCGAGTTTGTCCTGGTACATTCTTTAGATCTCCACTTTTGATATAACATTTCAATGAATTTATAAATTAAGAGTAATACAAATGTTGAGATCATAAGATGAAACATTAGACAAAAGCATTATATTTTTGAGTCAAAGTCAAGTGAGAATATATTTTTTATAATTG